TCTTTACATAAGACATATGCATCTTTAAAAAAGAAATGTTTATTCTTGGCTGTTCTGTCTTCGCTGCTGCTTGGGCCTTTCTCTGGTTGTGGTGAGCAGGGGGTTGCTCTCCATTTGCAGTGCTTTGGACTCTCATTGTGGTGGCTTCTCTGCTTGTGGAGTATGGGCTCTAGGCACGCGGGCCTCAGTACTTGTGGCACACAGGCTCAGTAGCTATGGCTTGCAGGCTTTAGAGCGTGGACTCAGTAGTTATATATAACACATGGGCTTAGTTGCTCTGCGGCATCTGGGTTCTTCCCAGACCAGAGATTGAACCCATACAGCAAAGTGACTCAATTGAAAGTATGTAATATACTCTATTATATATATATATATATATATATGTATATATATATATATATAATTTTTCATATTCTTTTCCATGGTGGTTTATCAGGTATGAATTTTTTATACCTTTCATTATGATATAATTTTTTGGCTCACTATATCCTTCTCCAACTCCCGGTAGATCACTATAGAATGCAAGATAATGTGTGGGGAAGGAAGTCCAATTGTTCCTTTTCTTTTGGTTTTTTATTTAAAATTACTAGTTTGTAGTATGGCAAAAATGTTTATTTTCGTAAATTAGGCTAAGAGTTACTACTTGAACAATTCAAAGTGAAAATTAGTGTATAGATAGGGAACTAAATTATATTAACACTTTTATTCACTTGATAAATTTATTCATTTGCTAAATGAGTAAGTCCTCTGAAAGGTTTCAAAGGAGTTTACTTGAACTGGCTTGTCTTATTTTCTTTGAAAGGTTTCAAAGGAGATTACTTGAACTGGTTTGTCTTGGTCAACTTGTAGCTTTACTTTGAATTTGTATATATCGTATATGAAGTAGAATAGATAAAAGTAGCTTTTTATAATCCAAGCCAGGAGTATAACTGTCTATGCTTGGAATTTGTGTCATCTTTGAGGAGTAGACAAATATACCTAACAAATTCCCAGAAAGACTGTTCTACACATCTTTTCATTCCGCAAATATTTATTGAGAGCTTGTCATGTATCTGGGGTGTATGTTCCGGGATGTGAAGGAAGAGCAGGTACAAAGACCCTGAGGGAAAATTGCACACGATGTGTTTAAGGGATTGGAGGACTGAGTCTGCTGATACTGATTTTAGGTATGTGAACTCTGAGAAGCCTGTTACACAGTCTGAATGTGGCAGGCAGTTAGAGATGTATGCCCAGAGTTCAGGGAAGGGGCCTGGAAACAGAAATATAAATTTGGAAGTTTCGAATGTATGTCGTCATTGTTGCTGCTGGCTGCTACTGCTAAGTTGCTTCAGTTGTGTCCGATTTTGTGCGACCCCATAGATGGCAGCCCACCAGGCTCCTCCGTCCCTGGGATTCTCCAGGCAAGAATACTGGAGTGGGTTGCCATTTCCTTCTCCAGGGGATCGTCTCAACCCAGGGGTCAAACCCACGTCTCCTACATTGCAGGTGGATTCTTTATTTTCTAAGCCACCAGGAATAGATGATATTTTAATCTAGGAGAGCACTAAAGAAAAGTACATGTAGGGAGAGAATATTTTTGGAGATAGGAGAGATGAGGAGCAACCATGAAATGAGACTGAGAAAGGAAGCATAGAATGGAGAAAAAATAATCAGGAGAGAATGGTGTCCTGGAAGCTGTGTGAAGGGTGGTTGATGGAGGATGAACAACCAGGTCTTAATGTATGTGTTATTCACCAAGTGGTGTCCTACTCTTTCCGACCCCACGAACTGGGGCTCGCCAGGCTCCTCTGTCCATGGATGGAATCCTACTGTATAACACAGGGTTGTTCAGTCGCTCAGTCATGTCCGACTCCTTGCAACCCCATGAACTGCAGTACGCCAGGCTTCCCTGTGCTTCACCATCTCCTGGAGCTTGCTCAAACTCATGTCCATTGAGTTGGTGGTGCCATCCAATCATCTCATCCTCTGTTTTCCCCTTCTCCTCCTGCCTACAGTTTTTCCCAGCATCAGGGTCTTTTCCAGTGAGTTGGCTCTTCACATTCAGGTGGCCAAAGTATTGGAGCTTCAGCATCAGTCCTTCTGATGAATATTCAGAACTGTTTTCCTTTAGGATTGACTGGTTCGGTCTGCTTGCAGTCCCAGGGACTCTTGAGAGTCTTCTCCAACACCACAGTTCAAAAGCATCAATTCTTCAGTGCTCAACTTTCTTTATAGTCCAACTCTCACATCCATACATGACTACTGGAAAAACCATAGCTCTGATTATATGGACCTTTGTTCAAAAAAGCAATATCTGCTTTTTAATATGCTGTCTAGGTTTGTCATAGCTTTTCTTCCAAGGAGCGAGTGTCTTTTAATTCATGACTGCAGTCACCATCTGCTGTGATTTTGGAGCCCAAAAAATAGTCTGTCACTGTTTCCATTGTTTCCCCATCTATTTGCCATGAAGTGATGGGACCAGATGCCATGATCTTAGTTTTCCGAGTGTTGAGTTTGAAGCCAGCTTTTTCACTCTCCTCTTTCACCTTCATCAAGAAGCTCTTTAGTTCTTAGTGTAACAGGGAATTACATTCAATATTCTATAATAAAGCAAAATGAAGAAGAATATGAAAAAGAACATAGATATATGTAACTAAATTATTTTGCTATATACCAGAAGCTAATGCAACACTGTAAATCAGCTACAAGTTTTTTAAAAAGTGCCAATAAACTAGAGGGAAAAAAAAATGTAGCTGATAGAGAGCAGGAGAAGTGGCTGGCTGGTCATGTGCTACTGGATAGTCAAGTGAATGGAATTTGTCAGTGTGAAAGGCATGGATGAGTCCTATGAGAGCCTTTTGAATGGAGGGGTAGAGGCAAAAACTTGATTAGAAATAGTTCAGTAAAGGAATGGGGGAGAGGATTTGGGGACTAAGACTACACCACAACTCCTTCAAGGAGCTTTGTTCCAAAGTGGGGCAAGCAATGGATTGGAAGCTGGAGCATGGAGAGTTAATCTTTATGTTTAATCTGGTTTGGTTTTTAAGTTGGGAGAAATAGTAGCAGGTTTGATGGCTGGGGGTGGGGAGTGCTGTGTTAGTTGGGAAATAATTGATGTGAAAGCAGGAGGAGAGATTTTGAGGAACAGGTCCTCATATGTGCATGGGGAAAGACCTGTTGCCTGAGTGGAAATGTTGGAAGTGGATGGGAATGTGAACAATTCACTTGCAGTACTAGGAGGCGAGGGGGATTTCATGGGTCCAAGTGCTGACACATAGAGAGATGGGATGGTGGGGTCTCTTGATTATTTCTGTTTTCCTTAGTAAACACCTGTCTAGGAGTCCTAGTCCCTGAGATGAACGAGCTTGGAAGAAGTAGTGGAGAAAGTTTGAGGACAAAGGCAGAATGAAATAGTTAACCTGGGGCAGTGGGAGAGGATAGACTAGGGAACCATATTATGGTTGTGGAACATCATTTGTAGCCCTTTTGACGTTGATGGTAAATGAATAAAAGTGATACCTGTCAGCATGGTTATGTCTGTCTGTCTTCAACCGCACAGATGCAAGAGGGAGCAAAGGCAGAAAGTTGAGCTTAACTCAGGTTGGAGTTCTGCTAGTCCAGTGTGATGTGTAGGAGAGGAAAAAGGGAGTTGAAGGCATGAGCAGGGAGGTGCTTAAGATGAAAGATGTGGAATTTAAGCTGCATAAGAGGAACTTCACTGGCAGTCTGGTGGTTGAGATTCAGCATTCCCAATGCAGGGGTCCTGGGTTCCATCCCTGGTCAGGGAGCTAGATCCCACACTCGGCAGCAAAGATCCCTCATGCGAGAACTAAGACTGGTGAAGTCAAGTAAATAAAAACTATCTTGGCTTTAAGGAAAAAACCAAAACAAAACCAAAAAACTGGATAAGGACAAAGTAAAGGCATAATGGTGGTGAAGTTCAGGGTAACAGTGGTAGGATCAATAGCTAATAGATTCTGGGGGGTCAGAGAAGTAGAGGAGGTGAGCTGAAAAGAGGAGTTGGTGGCTTAGGGTTGGATGCTTAACATTTCAGTGGGACAGGGAAGCTGTGATAGGTAATGACAGGGTCTTAGGGTCTGATCATGGGAATGACTGAGGCAAGGTAGACAGATCTTGAAAACCCACAGAATGTATTAATAGTGACAGTGAACCAGGAGCCCAAAATTTCCAAGGAATGGAGCCAGTGACCCAAAGATCAAAAGACAATTATTAGGAGGGGTAATGGATGGAATGATTTGATCCTGAGGGTTTTTAGAGAGGAAGGAAAGAAAATAGTCTAGAAATGATAGCATGGTATGAGGACTACACTTACCCCATCACTGGACCTGGTAAGAGTGATGGAGAAAAAAAATTCTCATAGCTTCTTCAGGAGTGTCTTCAGGTTTCTATTAGAGCAAGAAGGTGAGTGGACATTCAGGGGAGGCTGTTTCAGGGTGAGGCTTCAGGAGTTGGGGAAACAGAAGAGGGTGTGTTGAGTTCCCAGTGGGGATTAGAGTGTGGGGACGAGGAGTGACCTTGGACTCTGGGGCTTTTCATAAGTGGCACAAACAGAAAAAGGGCACAGTGCAGTTGTCTTGGAGGGCTCAAGACAAGGTGGAAAGACTACAAGTGTCACGGGGATGTACCCCTGCTCCCTGCCCTTACAGATAGAGGCCTGGGGAGAAGCTGGTTTCTTTCTTTCATTCTTTATTGGCTGCACCGGGTGTTTGTTGCTGCCCTTTGGCTTTTCTCTAGTTGTGGTGTGTGGACTTTTCCTTGTGGTGGCTTCTCTTGTGGAGCACAGACTCTAGAGCTTGGGCTCAATAGTTGTGGCACATGGACTTACTTGCACTGTGGCGTGTGGGATCTTCCTCGACCAGAGATCAAACCCATGTCCCCTGCACCGGCAAGTGGATTCTTACCCACCAGACCACCAGGGAAGTCTGGGAGAGGCTGGTTTCTTTTGAGTGTATGCCTTTGGTATCTTTTTAACTCTGTCCTTTTCATTTTGAATTTTACAGAGCATTAGTGATCATCAGCACTTTAGATGGCCGAATCGCTGCCTTGGATCCTGAGAATCATGGGAAAAAGCAGTGGGATTTGGACGTGGGGTCTGGTTCCTTGGTGTCATCCAGCCTTAGCAAACCAGAGGTGAGAATTTTCTGTTATGTGTCGACAGGAAAACTTAGTTAAAATGAGCACTTGCTGCTATTACTAGTAGATATTTGCTTATAGGACTGGTGCTCAGGAGCTGATCACCTAGGTGTGGGGGGTGTCTCTAGCAAGCTGTGTCCCCTGGAGGCATTTGCTCTTCTTTCCCTCAATTCCCCCTTCTGTAAAATGAGGTGGATGATGTCACCTACTTAGGATTGTTTGGGGCCTGAAATGAGTTAATCGTATAAATGAGTAATTGAGGATACTATCTGCTATACCAATAAAGCTCATTAGCTGTAAAATGATCATAATTTCTTCTTCCTAACATCATCATCACCACCATCACGAGGTCCCTAGGAATAATAAAACAAATGTAAACAACTGTGTTTTAACAGTTGGAAATACATGTTGCAAAACCCCATAAATTATTCCCTATGTGTTCCCTCAGTTGTCCATCCTAATATTGAATATAATTCATCTGAAATTTTCTTTGAGTGTAATTTTAGACAAACTGGATTATTTGCAGTTAGTTGCTTTCAAAACTTTTCTGGCATGTGACTCCCAAACTTGCGCAGGTGACTTAGCCCCTCAAGAGCTTTAGCATCTGCTTGGGTAAAGTCACGACATTGCCTACCTCGATGAGAGGAGCAGGTTAAGGAGAATTAAATGACAGAAGTTTATTTTTCTCACCTTTAGTCTAGACTCAGATGAAGTCTCTCTCCTTTTTTGGCACTCTACCCTCTTGTTTAAATCATTTAAAACAGGTCCCTCTTTTGAGTTATGACTGCTGACATAGAAGCAGTCATCTGTTTTCCAGAACATTCTCAGCCTTTTACCTTGTTCTTAGAGGTAAGATACTAGGATCACTAGGATACTCTTCCTCCTCCTGCCCCCACCCCCACTCTTTTTTTTTTTGGCCTCACCTTATGGGATGTGGGATCTTACTTCCCTGACCAGGAATGAAACCCAAGTGCCTTGCAGTGGAAGCATGCAGTCTTAACCACTGGACCACCAGGGAGTGTTAGTCTCTCAGTCATGTCTGACTCTTTGTGACTTTGTGGACTGTAGCCCTGCCAGGCTCCTCTGTCTGTGGAATTCTCCAGGCAAGAATACTGGAGTGGGTAGCCATTCTCTTCTCCAAGGGATCTTCCCCACCCAGGGATTGAACCCAGGTGTCATGCATTGCAGACGGAGTCTTTACTGTCTGAGCCACCAGGAAGGCCCCTCTGGAGCACCAGGGAAGTCCCCCTTTTTTCCCCCTTTCATTATCAATCTTTCCCTTTCAAAAAGCTTTTAAGCTGGCAACAAGTTTGGGAAAAACCTAGCATGAGGGGCTTGAGAATGACCTGATTAGTGATGATGGAATAACTGCTATCAGTGACCCCACTGCTCTCTAGAAAACCCAGGTTGAATTGTGTTCTGGAGCACCCAGGCAGATACTTAGGGAGATGGCACTGCCCAGCCTCCACGCTTGCCGTGTGCTAAGCCTTGAGTAGACTTTCAGAGTGCCTGCTGCTTATCCAGCAGTATGCTGAAAACATCTGTTGAGAATCGTGAACTTCTGTGTTGTGAATTATTAATATAAAAGCACTTTGATTATAAATTATGTTACAAATTTTGAATCAGGTGCAATAGTCTAATGAACTACTACCCAGACTGAAGAGTCGTTTATTTGTGTCCTCCTGGGATAATGCTTGGGCATGCACATTTTGCTTTATTTTCAAACTAGACGTGAAAGATGATGAGCAAAATCAGAAGACTAAGCTGTTTACACCTGAGGTAACATTCTGGTGTGTGGTGGTGTAAAGCATGTGTGCTTTTACAAACTAAAATACGCATACTGACAAAAAGAGAAATTGCACGTTATGACAAATAGTTGTGATAACCTGGGTGCTATTGAGTGTGTTTAAATTATAAGCAGCTGGTCAACCTTGAAGCTTTTCTTACTATAGCAGTTATATTAGCTATTTTTAAACTACAATTTTCTCACTGTCCCTACCATTTTCTGTGGCTTATTAGGGCTCTCTTGTTTTTTGTTTTGAAATTTGTATATTTTAACTGGAGGATAATTAGTTTACAGTATTGTCATGGGTTTTGCCATACATCAGTAGGAATTAACCGTAGGTGTACATGTGTCCCCTCCATCCTGAACCCCCCCCACCTCTCTCCCCATCCCCATCTCTCCAGGTTGTCACAGAGTACTGGTTCTGGGTGCCCTGCTTCGAATATCAGACTCGCACTGGTTATGGGACTCTCTTGTTTTAAATGTCCTGTTTCTAGTTTAATAGAAGACAACTTGATTTTCCTGTATGCTTCTGCCTTCAGCATGTTGCATTATTGTTTTGGTTGAGCTATATGAAGAAGAAGATCCACAGGTAGTTGGGAAAAGAATATTTTAGTAGCCTTTTCAGGTAATTGTGATCATTCTTTTTTGGTTCTACACAAGAACAGGTGAAAGTTTCTGGAAGGTTAGTTGCTCTGTGGAATCTGAAATCATATCAATGAGCAGTTGTACTCTGTTCCAGTAACATCCATTGGCCTGTCTTGCTTTTTACTCATGCATGATCTTCTAACATCATTGGGAAAATATTGATTCATTGAGTTACAGAGATCTTGCAAATGTTGACATATTTCCTTGTAGAATGTTTTGTAGACTCAAACTTTTTATTATCCTCACCAATATCATGAGAAAATCCTTTAAATACTGGGAAGCTCACATGGGAAGATACAGCTTTTACAAGATTCTCATTTTCACTTGGCAACTTAGATTTGATCATTAACATAGTCAATTGTTTTCCTCAAAGTAAGAGCTTTACTTTGTTTATTTTTGAGAAAATGTCTGCCAGATACCCAAGTCTCATAATCATAGCTTTTCTCTCAGTTTTTCAAGTAAAAATGGAGCTTTGTGAGCAGTGCTGCTAGTTCAGCTCAAAACACAGTCTCACAAGTGCTTTTTCTCAAAACATGCTTCCACTGGTGGCTGAAGTCCTTAATGTATACTTCCTGGTTGGTTGGGCAGAATAGTATAAAGGTATGTATTTGGGCCACAACTTGATGGAATTAATTTTTATTGTTTCATCAACACTCTTTTTTAAAGAAATTTATTTTTAATTGGAGGATAATTGCTTTACAATATTGCGATGGTTTCTGCCATACATCAACATGAATCAGCCACAGGCATACATATGTCCCCTCCCTCTTGAACATCTTTCTCACCTCCCTTCCCATCCGACCCCTCTAAGTTGTCACAGAGTGTCGGATTTGAGCTCTCTGCATCATACTGCAAATTCCCACTGACTATCTCTTTACATATGGTAATGTGTATGTTTCAATACTGCTCTCTCAACTCGCCCCACCCTCTCCTTCCTCCACTTTGTTCATAAGTCTGTTCTCTACTTCTGCATCTCCACTGATGCCCTGCAAATAGGTCCATCAGTATCGTCTTTCTATATTCTATATATATGTGTTAATATATGGTATTTGTTTTTCTCTTTCTGACTGACTTCACTCTGTATATAGGCTCCAGTTTCATCTACCTCATTAGAACTGACTCAAATGCTTTCCTTTTTATGGCCGAGTAATATTCCATTGTATATATGTAGCACAACTTCTTTATCCATTCATCTGTCAGTGAACCCCTAGGTTGCTTCCATGTCCTAGCTATTGTAAGTAGTGCTGCAATGAACATCGGGGTATCATCAGAACATTCTTGAGTGAAACTTTTTTTCTTCTATTTTGTCACAAGTGTGTGACAAGTGAAGATTCCAGGACTACAAATTTGGTGCTAGATTTAGGCTAAAGCACCAGTTTTAGTTACTGTTGCTTCTACACCATAAATGCAAGTATCACCCCAGGGAAAGGCAAATAGCACCACCACCTTATGAAAACCGCTTGACCGCCTGCACTTGAGACAGAATCCACAGACCATGCTTTGAGACCAACCGATCTAGTATATAATAGAAATATTAGGAGAGTATTGGTAAGGTTATAAACATTAACAAGGAGAGAGAACTGTATTGTGAGCTTGGGTCACCTGTTATTCAGCAAGGTGTGTGTCACTCATCATCTAGAAGTTGTGTTCAGAAACTGGACAAAACACCACCAAAAGAGGAACAAAAACTGCTCTTTGAAATGCCCCAGATTGGATGCTTAGCAGGACAATACTCTTCTGAATGCATCTGATAGACTATTTTATGACAGTCCTTAGCTTTTATGGAGAAAAATTAATTTTCTCTGTCTGAAACTCAGCATTTGCTAGGGCAGGTAGTGTAGAGAAAAGGACTGGGTGAACCCAGCAGGCAGAAGGAACTGGTGGGGAGATGTAACAGGAGCCACCCAGCTGCCGGTAAGTCTCCATTTGTTGACGCCTCTACTAATGTCAGTTTCTCCATGCTTTCCTCAGGAGTGGTGTGAAGGTGAAACATATTAAACCCAGAAGACCAGAGAAGATGTATTCTCTATGCAGTGATTATGTTTTATTTATTTACTTTTTTTGCTATTTGTTTGTTTATTTTTGACTGCACTGGGTCTTCACTACTCTGTGGACTTTCTCTGGTTGTGGTGCATGGGCTTCTCACTGCAGTGATTTCTCTTATTGCAGAGCCCAGGCTCTAGGCACACGGGATTCAGTAGTTGCGGCATGTGGGCCCTATAGCGCAGGCTTTAGTTGTGGTACGTGGGCTCAACTGCCCGCTGGCATATAGAAACCTCCTGGACCAAGGACCAGACCTGTGTCCCCTGCATTGGCAGGCGGATTCTGAACAACTGGACCACAAGGAAAGTCCTCTGTGCAGTGATTATTAAAGTGACTGATCTGATGCTTCCCAGGTGACTCAGTGGTAAGGAAACTTTTTAAGTTACTAGTGCTAGAGGAATTGGTTGTGAGTCACATGTACTTTTGCTTGAATAATAGAGTAAGAGCATCACAGGGACTTTGTGTGGTGTGGCGTACGCACCAGGATTCAGGGGCTAGTTCTAGTGGGTACACTGCTGTTAAC